AAAATCAAACAATCCCCGATAATGCTAACGATGCTGGTAAGAGCAGCCATCGGTAGCACCTGGGGAGCGGCTCCAATCTATTGGTGGGGAGCAACACCTGCCGGGAATCGGGCCCAGCGTCCCGGAGTACAGGTGAGAAATAGCAACAGAAGGAGGAACGGGGGTATCACCACTACCCTAGGGCAGCGGCGCCTGCGCCGGGGTTTGCTTGGGGGCACATATTCAGGTTGGGCGGGCCTGAGGCCCCCTCTGCCGGGAGGCGTTAGCACCCAGTCACAGAGGGGGTTATCAGAGGAGGCACAACCTGCGATGTCCAGAGGCAAGCATTTCACTCCCCCCGAAGAGTTGTCAATTGTCCTTACCCCTACAGGTTTTATCACCTTGTCACCCTTTAACCACCTTGGTGTTACTAAGCGTGCATTGTTCGTTTCAACCTCCCTCAACTGTTAATATTGCACTGCTAACCCTTACTCATCCTTACCCCGCCGACTACTATCACCTTGTTACCCTTTAACCCTCTTGATGTGACTTATCGTGCCCAGGCGGGGCAGCATTGTTCATTTCACTCTCCCTCGATTGTTAGTACTGCACTGCTAGCCCTTACTACTCATTGTCTGCTAACCACCTACGGAGATCGTCACCTGCAGAATGCAGGCGAATTGTCCACTCGACACCTACAGAAGCCACTAGCGTACAAGATCCGAACCAGCCCTCCTTTTTTAAAACTAGAGGCTATAATGGCTACTGTGCCGAGGTAACGTAGCCCCCGTCCCGTTGTGAGAGATCCGGCTGGAGCTGAGTCACCGCCAGACCTTACGCACTAGTCTCAGAGCGCTGCCGCGGAGGGGCAGCTCCCGACGTCCAGGATCCATTCCCAGCATCCCGGCTGGTCCTGAAAGCGCACAAGCTTGGAGTAAGGCGTCCACGTTTGCGTGAGAAGTGGCCATGCCACTTCCGATTTCCGTTTGCTGTCAGCCGCAATGGCGGTTCGAAGATTGGCGAGACACATCGCTCGCAAGGCCGCAAAAGTGGGGGGACGCTGTTGGAAAATAAGCTGCGTTCTGAGAGCCCAGACGACAGCAAGGAAGGCTGCCCGGATAATGTCAATGGCGTACGCCCGCTGTCCTCGAATGGGGGGGTCTATGAGGGCTGGGCCGGCAAGCAGGCAATCCGCCCACTCCTCCTGAGTCATCGTGAGAATATCTCCCCCAACCTCTCGTCCCCACCATTCCCAAAACTGCTGCTGCGAAGGGCAGCCGGTCCACACGTGCGGGACGTCTTCGCAATCCGCGGCACAGTGCGGGCACCTCCCGTCAGACGAGGAGGACCGCTTCGCGAGCCATTCGTCGGGAGTGCCAAGTGGATGTTCAGCCACAGGAGCCCTGCATGCTTCAGATTAGGGAGCGTTTGGAGGCGGCTGACCGTAGCCTTCCACGCAGTGGGGGACCATTTTGCGGTGGGGGACCTCGTCAGCCAGCCCTTGCTGGCCCAGCGGTGCCGAAGTTCCTGATCCATTCGATAAGGAGGGGTCAGCGCGCGGTACATAGCTTTGGTGGTCCTTGATGCAGCGGGAGGTCGTGGCGTTGGAGGCCTTGCTTCCTCCACTTCCACATGGCGGGATCCACTGCCAACTGCGCCGGGCGCTTTTCCGGGCGAAAAATGTGGTGGGTGGCCCGGGCCAAGCCCTTCCTGTCCGTGACCACCGAGACAGATCTGACGAGGTCCCGGGGTACCCACCCATCCCTGTCGGGGGAGCGAACCAGGGGGGGGCCGAGTTCCGAGTCAGAGGGAGAGTTCTCCCAAGCTTGAGCCACCAACGAGGACTCCCTGACCCGTGCGGTAATCTGAAACAGCAGGCGGACGGGGTCTTCAGTCTTCAGCACCACCCATTCGCCGTCGAACCTCTGCCCCGTCCTAAGGGCAGCCACCCAGTCCTCCGGGACCGCTTGCTTAATCCGGAGCAGCCATTCCTGTTCATGCGTCTGGCTGTCCAACTGTTTCAACAGGGCCGCCTCCGGCTGCCAATCGTTAGTTTGCAGGTCCCAAAGGTCGGCGACACGCGCCACGCCCGCTTTAAGCCAGGCTTTGCCAAAGGCTCCTTTGGGGCCTGCCCATGGAAACTGCTCGCCATTACTGTCCCGGATCCGCGGGTTCCCAAACAAGCGTTGCTGCAGGATGTGATCTGCTGACTTGGGAGAGTTGAGCTCGAGCAGGGCCAGAGTCTGCCATGGCTTCAGAAACGGGGACCACAGCGCACCTCGCTTAAGGTCCGTGAGGATGGCCGGTTGTACAAGGGCCAGTTCCATATCTGCCGGATGCAGCCGGGCCGCTTCAGCCATAGTCTGCAGGGTCAGGATCTTCCACGGAGCGTCGTCCTGCTCTAGGAGGAGCCAGACAACCGTCCTTATCTGCAGCGCCTGGATCTGTGTGGCCGGGTCAATCAGGCCCAGTCCCCCACTCGCCTTAGGTTGGACCAATTTGCGCCAGGAAACCCGGTGAATTGCGTGAGGAGCGAACGGGTCGTTCTTCCAGACAAACTTGGAGAACACCATGCGGTATTCCCGCTGAGGGACCGGGTCTGGAGTTGAGACCGGGGCTGTGTACCAGAGCATCGCCGAAGCCATTGTGTTTGCGAGGAGTACTCGGCCAAAGATCCCGGCGTCCAACGTTTTTCCGCAGAGTGCTAGTCGCGTGGCTGCTTTCCGCATCAACTGCTCCATCTGGGAGCCGCTGGTAAGGGCCTGCGGGAGCTCGATACCGACGTAGGCCGCTGTTTCCGTCATCGGCTGAACTCTGATTCCTTCAAACAGGGGGGCTGCGGTGAGGTCAGGAACCAGCGCTACAGATTTATGCCAGTTCATACGTGCCCCTGCAAACTGCTCAAAAATGCCCACCTGGTTCCGCAACGCCCAGACGCTGGCCTGAGTAGTGGAAGTGACCGCACCGGTGTCATCCGCGAATGCTGACGATTTAAGTTGTCTGCCCCCCGGGAGTTGCAGTCCCGCCAATGCCTCATCTGCTCTGAGCATGTCATGCAGATGCTCTATATACAGTGCGTATAGCACAGGGGAGAGCGGACAACCCTGACGAACCGAGCGTGTGACAGCTATCGGGTCCGATAGATAACCGTTAATCAAGAGGCACAACGCTGCCGAAGCTAGCAGGGACTTCACCATTAAAAGAAATTTCGGACCGAATCGCCTTTGCCTCAAGCCTTCAAGCAGGAAGGACCACGAAACTCGATCGTAGGCTTTCTCGAAGTCCAGCAAAACAAATGCCAGCGGCGGGTCTTGAGATGGAGCTTGCCACACGATCTATCGAGCGAGCAAGATGTTCGTCAAGATCCGCCGGCCCGGGATGAAGCCTGTTTGCGTAGAGTCCACAATCCTGGGGAGCTTGCCTGCGAGGCAGTTGGCCAGAATTTTCGCCAGCAACTTGTAGGAGGCGGACAGTAGGGAGATGGGCCGCCAATTGCGGATTTCCTTGGGGGGCCCTTTTTTGTGCACCAGGATAATCGTCGCAAGGCCAAAATCCTGTGGTAGAGGGCCAGTGCCCAGTCTCACATCGTTGAAGCCCTCCAGGAGGTGCGGAAGAAGAGTGTCCAGACAGGACTTCAGGTGTTCCACCGGCATTCCATCTGGGCCTGGCGCTTTTCCGGCTGGCATGTCAGCCAATGCTGCACAGATCTCCTGCTCAGTAATTGGCCTGTCAAGGTCAATACGCTCTGAGTCGGTCAGCTTAGAGGTTATCTTCTGCCAGATGGCCGCGGCCGGTTCTTCCGCAATTTCCTCCGGTGTCCTTGGTTGTTCCTCAGTGAAAAGGTAGGAGTAGTACTGCTGAGCGAACTGCAAGATGTGCTGGGTACTGTCAGCCAGCGGGCCGTCCTGTTGAAATGGATGCTGCAGTGTCATCATGACGGACCCCGGTCGTCGCGTATGGAGTCGATGAAAGCAAGTCTTTGTCATACGCCCTGCCGCCACCGTCCACCGAGCTTTGCTGCGCAATCCCCAAGCTTCAGCATCCTTAAGCTGCCATTCCTCCCACTCCACCTGCAGCGCCGCCCATTGCATCCACCACTCCTCCTCCCCTTCTTCGGTCGCCGGGCCGTCGCCCAGTTCCAACACCCGTTGTATGAATGCTTCAGCCGTCAGCCGCCGTTCTCGTTTAGAAGCGATCACTGCCTGCTTGAGCAGTCTGGCCAGGGCCGCCGTCCCATCTGACAGCCATTGAAGGGCGGATTGATCCGCATGTCCGAGCTGGGTCCAGTAAATCCAATGTTGGTTGGCCATATTACGAAATCGCGCCTCCGCGAAATTCCACCCTGGAACAGTGGAGGGAGGGGGCCTGGTGCGCAACTCGGTGGGGATCGCCAATGTGAGGGCGATCATCTTATGATCCGACCGGACCACGGGTGTGACGGAAAAGTCCAATAAACACTGCATAGCGGACGGAGATATCCAGGCCATGTCTTTTCTCCTTCGCTTTTTAAGGCCTGGGCCAACCCATGTGATGCCCTTTTCGTGCGGCCAGAGCACTCGAAAGGCATCCTACAGCCCCATGTCTGTTAGTGTAGAGAGCATGGCCAGTGCATCCGGCGAGTAGGGGGCAAGAGGGTCCGCTCGAGGTGGGGGTTCCACCACGGTATTGAAGTCTCCAATTCGAATCAGTCTATCGACCTCGGGGATGTTAGTGGAAAAGGCTTGCCAGAACTGGCACCTATCCCTAAGCTGAGGGGGGGCATAGACCGTCGCAATGAGGGCCCGTTCCCCGGCCAGGCCGATGTACACCCAGGCCCAGCGCCCCTGCGTGTCGGCAAAGAAATCCAAGATCTCACCCTTGAAATACCGAGTGCCCAGGATGGCCACCCCCCGCGCCGTGCCCACTGTCGGTGCCCAGAGCTGAAAGGTTGGCCGGAGACTGGCTGTAACGGGGGGCAGCTCCCCCTCTGGCAGTCTCGGGTCAGACAATTTAGTTTCCTGCAGACAGAGGAAGTGGATGCCATCCCGTCCAACCAAGCCCTTAATTTCTTTCCATTTTGCTCTAAAAGAGGCAGCCCCCAGCCCTCGTACATTCAATGAGGCCACTTTCAGCAACTGTGCCATGTTAGTATTGCAAAGCATGCAGCATCCCCAGTCATTGTCCCATTATGCTCACAAATAGCACCGATGGCATCCTTCCTGGGTCCCGCATACATACGAGTCCTACCCTCCCATCCCCAGCCAACGGCCCCTGGGGGCACGTATTCTCACACCTTTCCACCACTCACAGCCAGGGGATCAGTTATGGCTGCACTTTACCAAAACCCTCCTTATCCAGAGCCACTCTCACACATGCATATGATGACCCCTTAGGCTCGTGTTCGCACAGCTGTCCCGCCAATCACAGCTAAGAAATCAGTTGCGGCTGCATTTTGCCAAAACACTCCCCCCCTGGTTTATTTAGATGTAGGGTCCCACCCAGCAACCAGGAGCTGTTAAGCTAGACAATCCCACCCGGCACATACCATAGCTATTCAGACCTTTGGTAAAAACACAAGAGCGGCGCACCCATGAGCTTTCCGTCTATCACTTCCAGCCATCCCAGCGCTCACAGATGCATATGACGACCCTCCCACCAATCACAGCTAAGAGAGCAATTACGGCTGCATTTTACCAAAACACTCCCACATGAGCTATTCTATCTGCCACTACCAACCATCCCAACTCCGGTTCCCATTATCACTATCCGCCTCTAGCACTTAGGGGCCACACTCAGACAACTGATTACGAATCCACCACCTTACTGTACAATACACCGCCAGGGTGTCACCTGCGTCCTGCCCAATCCTTCTACGATTGTTAGCTAAGTCCATTGTATCTCACCCTAACACTCCATACTACTCCACTATTCCACTATTAGCCGTATCCATAGCGTCTTGCCCTACGAGCACTCACAAGTCTGAGAAAAACTTACCCTTATTTAGCATATACACAGCAGCAGCGCACCCTTAGGCACTGCAATCCATTACGTCTCGGCTTTCCTCTCCTGCGTTCCTGCATGGGATCACGCCCTTCCCCTATCGCCTTGTTCACCTGTTGTGTGTATTAATGGGCTCGTACCCTAGACGTAGAGAGACTTCCCTTCCAGTGTCCCGCTAAGGGCCCTGATTCTACTATTGTCTGTACCAATTGTGTCTACCCTTAACACCACGCACACTTCCCATCACACAGCGTGGAGAGACTTCCCCCTCCACTGGTCCTCCAAAAGGCCCTATCCAGGCCAATATCCCTCTAAGCTCCCATATGATACTGCGGTCTGTGTCAATTGTGTCTCCCCCTACCAACGCTCCCACTTCCCATCGCACCACGTCACTACCCCTATCCCGTATGGGGTCTTACGCTCCCACTCCATATCCCTCTTGCCCTGGTCCATTTGCCCTCGCAGTCTGTATACCCGTTCCCCGACTGCCTGGCCCATCCTCTTCCAATCCTCCAGCTCAGGCCTTGGCTGGCTTGCGGCGGAGTCTCGAGTTCGAAGCCATTCCCCGCAGAAGGGGCCGCGGTATCCTCGGCATCTGTCTTCCTGTTTGCCGCGGGCCTCTAAGCCACGCCTCTGGGTCCGTGATACAGGAGGGGTGCGTGAATCGCTTGTTCTCCGGGAGCCGCTTATTGAGGAGGGCGAGGATCTCGACTGTGTCCTTGTATGAGGTCGAGGTCTCTTCCGGGTTCGGCAGGCCATCAGGATTCGGTAGTGCCACCATCAGAGGTTCAAGATCCTTCCAGCAGAACCGAGAGTCGGTTGCTTGAGCAATATGCTTCCTAGACTCCGCCCGAAGCATGAAGCAGTAGGCTCCGAGGCTTTCCTCCGAGTCGGACCTCAGCAGCAGACGGATCGCGGACACTCCCTTCATAGGCAGCACCTCGCAGTCGTTCCCCAACCATTTCTCTGCGGCCACAATCGCCTGCTGGATAGAAGGGTGCCTCACAATTTGAGAAACGGGATAGTCGGAGTGTGCTCGGCCTCTTGTGCTCGATGCAGCAGAATCTGAAGCTTAATCTCCCAGATGCGGAGTACAACAGGGACTATGCGGAGGCGGTCCTGAGCCCGAAGCTCATCAAACTTTCCATCCAGCAACAGCATTCTTCTGACATGAATGTCGTTGAATACCCTATTCTCCTCCCCTTGATGGACAGGCCCCGGGTTTTCCTCCTCCTCCTCGATCCGTCGATACTCCATCAGTTCCATCTCGTCCACCTGGATTTGTTCCAGCTTGTCTGCTGCCCTCTGCTCAAGGACAAACTGTGGAGGGGGGGATAGGGACAGTGAGGTCGAGCTACTCAATACGAGGGGGTTGGTCCATCAAGTGCCTGGTTGACGCCGACCTGCTTCCTCACCACCCGTCGCCTGATCGATAGCAGGTGCCGTCCCAGGACGAGGCGGGGGGGCCTCCATCACGCAGCACAGGCAAAGGAACAGCAACCGGAGGGGGCGTGGGCGGGGGGGCGGGGGGGGGGGGGGGGGGGGAGGGACAGCCGGGAAAGGCACCGTCCTCGAGGGGGTGAGGAGAGGCTTCTGATGTTTGGGCAGTTCCGCATCAGATGCACTCATTTCCTGGTCAGACGTCGCCGTTCTCCGCATCTTTCGCCGTGCTCTGCCTCGTTTTCTGCCCAAGCCCCTCTGTTGGGGTTCCTGCATGGAGTCATCCCATAGCGAGTCGATTTCCTTCCTGGCGGCCGCCTCCACCTGGTCGTGGTTCAGGACGTGGCTCGCTGACTGTCGCTGCGTGGGCGTAGCTCGAGGCTGTTCCAGGCGCAGGTCGTTCAGCCCTTGAAGGAGTGGGTCGTGTGGCGGTTGGTCCTGCTGCGGCCGGGGCATCTCTGATTTCTGCTCCCGCTGCTCGTCCCGGGGGGGGCTGTGTCCCCGCTTGCTACTGTCTGTCGCCTCATTGCCCTCACACAGGCGGCCCTCGCCGCATGTCAATGGATCCTCCAACATCGACCCCGAGCACTCCAGTAACCTGCCAGCTTTCATCGTCGCGCCCGGCGGCCGCACCGTACTTGCCTTTCTCTCGCTGGTTTCATTATTGTCCCTACTACTGCCGACTCTCCCGCCCGCTCGGTCGATGCCAACTTCCTCCTCTCCCGTCCGGCCTCGTTGGGGGCTGGCTAGCAGGCATTTCGAGCACTCCAGCCGCCAGCCGCCGGTCGTCCCCCTTTGACCCGAGGTCTCTTTTCTCACCAGCGCTTCCAGGGCTCCCGCCTTCGTTCGCTCCCCCGGCCTGTCACCTCGCTCCCCCTCCACCGGTGACAACTGCTGGTGTTGACCGGTACTCTCCTTCCCTCTCCGACTCCCATTCTCCTGCTGGCGTTCAGCCACAGGCGGTGGCTGGTGTTGAGCGTGCAACTCCGCCGCTACCCTACTCCCACTTCCCTGCTGTCGCTCGGCCACTAGTTGCACACCTTCCGAGTCTACTTCCATGGCCCGCCGTTCTACCTCCGCCGCTGCCTCCTGTGTGGCCTCAGGCTGGTGCTGTTCTGTACCGATCGTCGACGGGTTCCTCTTCTCCTGTGCCCCTACCGCCATCGTCTCCCCCCCCTTTGGGGACCGGGGTCTTTGATGCGTGACTAGTGGCGTTTCCATCCTTCCTTCGCCACCTGCCGATCGCTCATCCATCGGGATGTCCTTAATTGTGTCCTCTCGCGGCGCCTGCTGGGCGGTCGGACCTTGAGCGCAGCTAGTAACCTCCAACCCTTGGGCACCTCCTCGGGCACCCTCTTCGCACTCCTGGTGTTGGCTGCCGCGATGGGAGGTTCGCCCTGCCGGGGTCTCGCCTCTTCCCTGCATTACGTGTTCCTGCTGAGCGCGGTTCAAGTGGCGATCGGTCGGGCCCTTGTGGGAGGGCTGAGCTTCCCTAGTTGGCAGCTGCGGGGCCTGGTGCCCCGGAAGGAGGGCCGTTTCGCCCACTTCCTTAACGTCTCCCAAGCTATCGTCCATAAGGATCTCTGCGAAGATGATCTGGTCGAACTCTCGCTCGTAATGTGCCCAAGCCGCAGTCTCCGAGTGCTCGTCCTCCGGTAGACCCGGATCTCTCCTGAGTCGGTCCTCTAGGCTGGCCATCTCTTCTCTCATCTCCGCCAAGGTGAGGCATCTGGTGGCTCCGTCCAAGTGGTCGTGTCGATGGCAGTGTTCGCACCACGGCGTTTCACTTGTGACACACCGCACCTCCGTCCGCCCATAATATGCCTGTGCCACCGCAAAGCGCTCCAGGGCTTGACTCTTCAATGGCGGGTATAGATCAAAGCGGACGAATTCCTTCCCTTCTGCATCCGTTGCCCACCTACCTTGCGGATTCTTGACTGCTCCGAAGAAGGCCTCTGCAACTTGCCTGAGGGATAGGGCCACCATGGGGGAAGGCTGCACAAATTTAACCCATGGATTGGCTCGCCTCTCCTGGAACTTGGTCCACTCCAGTTCCTTGGGGGTCATCCATGGCTTAAATCGGATGTAATACGTTCGTTCGCCCACCAGGATGGCCTCCCGTTTCCTCTCATAGATTAGCCAGTTTCTCAGCTCCGCCGTCGGCGCCCAGTAAAATGCTGCTGAATTGCCTTCAATAGTCAGCCGGCCTGAGTGGCCGCCTTGTCCCTTGTCCGGCCAACGCATTGCTTCCCACTCGTTGACCCACGTCATCTTCGTCTTTGGAGCGAAGTCCTTTACGGGACCGTCGAAACACAACAGGATGACGTGTGCCCGTAGATAGGTGATCTGTGCCTTAGCGACTTTCTTGCCCATCCACAATGTACATTCTCCGTTGACCCGTTTAGGGTAAGCGGTCGGATCATCCATGAAACCCTGAGTCAACGCCGCCTTGCGCACCCGTCGCATGACCTCATAGTCACTGAGATTTGAGGCCGGCGGAATCGCTCTTCCCTTTCCCTGTTGCGGTGAGGTCCTGGCCGGAGTTGCCATCTCGTACTCCTTCCCGAGTCTTCCCCGTAGCTCCGTCCTCCCTTGCCTTGCTGCTCTCTCCCACCGCTCTAGTCACTGTCGTCTCCTCTGCCCCTGCGGAGGAGTCGGAGGACGTATAATACCCTAATCTTCCTAGGTTCCCAGGCCGCCTCTGCGAGGGGGGATGGAGATCTAGTCCAATCGTCGGTTCAGGATGGCACCCTTCCCCCCTGTTCCCTATCGGTGAAGTGGCCGGAGCTGTACCCTTCTCTAAATGTGCTCGCCGCTCCGGACGGCCATGTCGCGCTCCCCATCGACCTCGTCGCCGGAGGGGCGAGGTTCGGTCGGCCAGCAGGGCCGATTCGTCAAGTCTCAGCGGACCTGGGGGGGGAGGGCGATTCCACCGTGGCCGTCCTTTTGACGAATCAGAGGTCAAATATTGGTCCGAATGCCATGTGGGGTCAAACTCCCTCAACCACCGTTCTTCCTGCGCAATCCTAAATCTCAGCCACCTAATCTGGGCTTCCAACCGCCGCTGCTCCCTTCGCGCCAACCATCTCGCCACTGTTGACGTCCAGATTTGTTGGATACCACCTCTCCGCCCGACTTCCACCCACACAGCTAGCGCCGCCAGCCAGTCTATCCACCCCCCAGTGGTCAAGAGTTCCCACCAACTTCCCACCTTACTCCCCGCCCAGAGAATCTGTCTACAACAGATGTACGCGAGTGTCCAGGTAAGGATCAGTATAGCACATTTACCTGTGTCCACTACCGCTAGTCGCCAGGTATGTGCTAGAGTCGTCCATAGCGAGACAATCAGCCTGTAAATTCCGTCCACTTGTCGCGCCAAGACCCAGCCCAAGACTAGCAGGAAAACCCCCCAGATCTTCTCCTCGTCTCCCATGTGCTCTCCAATCCTAGCCTCCTGTCTCAGCGCCGATCGCCGCTCCCCTACGATGCCTACGTCCGTCGCCGAGTCATGTCCTTACGTGACCGCATTCTCACATCTCCCTTCCCAACCCCCTCCCCGGCCCATCTCCAGACCAGCAGGAAGGATCGCCAATCGTCTCGCCCCTAGACTGCCTACGTCCGTTGTCGGCTCGTGTCCTTGCATGGCCGCCTTATCGCGTCTTCCTTCCCACCCCTCTCTCGTTGTCCGCATAACATGTTGCCATCATCGCACTTCCGCCATCTAGTACATCACTCAGAATACGCCAGGACATCCCCGCTCCTCGCTCCACGTCTCCCCGATGTCCCCCAAGACAGGTCGTCCTCCGCTAGCAGACTTCTTCCCCGGAGTGTCGTATTCGCAGCTTCCCGTCGTTTCCTTTTCACGTTTCCTCCTCCATCCCCTTTGACCTACGGTCGCGTGTGCGTTCCGAATCGCCTCGCGGCTATCGGTCGTGGCCCGCGGAAGCGCTGCGCCATCTCCCTACTCGCCACTTCCAGGATCTCCCTACTCCACGCTGCGCGGTGTTCCGTGTCGCGATATCGTATACCTAACTACATTACTCACGTTACTACGCTACGCTTCCCATGCCTTGCGCTGCGCTCTCCGCTACGCTCTCACACTCTCACACGCTCTCGCTCTCACAGTTTGCTCTCACAGTTTGTATCCACAATTTGTATCCGTATTTGTATCCGTACTGGAAATCAAAATCAAATGAGCTTTTGCCCTTTTGCTCCACACGAGATTTCTGTTCTCGTTGAKCTCATCTTAGGACACCTGCGTTATCTTCTAACAGATGTGCCGCCCCAGCCAAACTCCMCACCTGACAATGTCTTTCGCTTGGATCAGACAGGCCACGAGGGCCTGCACCTTGGATCGAAAAGCAGGGGCAGAGCCCCGGCTCCACCTCACGAAATAAGTAAAATARCGTTAAAAGTAGTGGTATTTCACTTGCACCGTAAGGCTCCCACTTATTCTACACCTCTCAAGTCATTTCACAGAGTCGAACAAGAGTCAAGCTCAACAGGATCTTCTTTCCCCGCCGATTCTTCCAAGCCCATTCCCTTGGCTGTGGGTTCGCAGGATGGTAGATAGGGACAGTGGGAATCTCGTTAATCCATTCATGCGCGTCACTAATTAGATGACGAGGCATCTGGCTACCTTAAGAGAGTCATAGTTACTCCCGCCGTTTACCCGCGCTTGGTTGAATCTCTTCACTTTGACATTYAGAGCACTGGGCAGAAATCACATTGCGTCGACATCCGTTAGGACCATCGCACTGCTTTGTTTGAATTAAACAGTCGGATTCCCCTTGTCCGCACCAATTCTGAGTCGGCAGTTTGATGCTTAGGGAGAGTCCCACGGTCCCACCCGAAAGGTGGGGACATAAGACATTCTACGCCCGTCGGCACACTGGCACGCGGGCTCCGCCCTCGCCGCGAGAGCAGCTCAGGCAGACCACCGGCAGCCAACGACATCGAGGCGCAGACCCCTAGGCCCAGCCCTCAGAGCCAATCCTTTTCCCAAGGTTACGGATCCATACTTCCGACTTCCCTTACCTACATTCTTCCTTTGACCAGAGGCTGCTCACCTAGGAGACCTGACGTGGTTATGAGTACGGCAGGGCGTGAGAGGTACCTGCAGCTCCAGATTTTCAAGGGTCGTCGGGGGCTCGTTGGACACCACAGGACGCGCGGTGCTCTGCCGGGCGTTGCCCCCTATCTCCGGTTGATCCGATTCCAGGGTGGGCGAGCCGTTAAGAAGGAAAGAGAACCCTCCCCACGGCCCCCGCCGGCATCTCCGGAGCTGCTTACGTTACCGTCCACCTCCACAACCCGGTTCGGGAATATTAACCCGCCCCCCTTTCGATGTGTGGCGCGCAGTGCACCCTTGATACAGGGTTTCCATATCTCTTAGGGCCGACTGACCCATGTCCAAGCGTTGTTCACATGGAACCCTTCTCCACTTCGGTCTTCAAAGTTCTCATTTGAATATTTGCTACTACCACCAAGATCTGCACCG